TCCTAGCATTTTGAGTCATTTTGCCCCCCCCAATCCCTTGCCCGTTGTTGTCGTGGGGGGGCTTAGGAGGCGGAGACTGGGACCCAATGATGGGGAACTCCCCAACCTTGGGACTCAGCCCTCGACTCAACTAATTATGCATGGTCTTTTTTTTCCCTTCCCACTTTTGTTTCTGTCCCTTCACCAAACCCTTCTGCTATCCACCTCCTAAGGTGTGAGAGCCGTGCTGAAAGGATGAAAGGCTGACTTTGTGCCAGTCCTGAACGGCCTGAGGGAGCCATGGGCACGGTATTCCCCTGATTTAGTTATCTAGCCCTTACCCCTCAAGGGGACCCTGAGGGGTGGACTGCTTTTATCCCCAACACAATCCAGGCTTCCCATGGCCAGTAATGAAAATATATCCCCAATGTTAGGGGCAATGAGGCTTGCCCCTTTATCAAATAGCCCCAACGAAGTAAACCCACCCGATTCCCCGACCCCAGGCTCTCCTTTGACCACGGCTCCAAACACTGCAATAACTACCCCTTCACCAATGCCTACTAGTACAGTAGCCAACAATCAACCCTCAAGGGACATTTCCACTCTCCCAGCATACCCAACTTCAACACCTCTACCCCCACAACCTCCAACATCAACCACCCCATCCTCCCTTATTAATACCTTACAGCCTTATAGCCCACCTCTCCATAACACTACCTCCATCAACACAACTCCATCTTCGTCACGCCCTCGCCCTTCTACCACCCCTATCTCTAAAACAATCTTGAATACTCTCTTCAGTGCAGCCAAATGGGACTGATTTTTCGTGATCCCTCCCACAGCTCCCTACTCTAACAACACCCTTCTCTTCCAACAATGCCTCCAAAAACAAGTAGGTAAAGTCTCTTTCCGTAACCGACCCGACCGCTCCCGTCTTGTAACAGTAACATCCGAAAACCAAGCCATAGCACTAACAAAACTAACTGACCTATATGGTAACCCCATCCTAGCAGAACCCCATCCAACCCTCAATACTTGCACCAGAACAGTCTCAATCTCACCAACAAATTGCCCAATCTATGACAAAGAATGGTCAGATTGTGGAGATCTACTTGCCTGTCTCACAGACTACGATGCAACATCAGTACAATGCTATTCCATCCCCCCCAGAGGTCATCGAAAGAAACCCACTAACATAGCCAAAATTACCTTCCGTAGACATGACCTTCCCTTTAACGTCTACATAGGAGGAGAATCCCTCCCTGTTCGTCCATACCAACCTCCTCCACGTCAGTGCCAAAATTGTTGGCGTCTAGGACACCCAGCCAAACACTGCCGTTCCACAGCCAGATGCCCATTATGTGCCCAACCTGGCCATACCCGATCTAACTGCTCTGCACAATCACGCACATGTGCCAACTGTGGCGGCCCCCATAATGTATTTTATAGGGGCTGTCCCACCTACAAATTTGAATCTGAGGTAGCAACTCTCAGATTCAAACTCGGACTCACACTGCGTGAAGCCAGACAGGAAGCACGTCGACGTGGATTCTCTCTTACTCCTTACTCCAGTAATACTGCTCATCCTAACACTTCTCCTAAACCCACCCCTCCTACATCTAACCCCCCCACTAACCCCACCTACCTTCCCCAGTCAAACTCTTTTGCCATCCTAAATCCAGAAACTCCAATCTCTACTACAGATACTCCAATCACCACTACAACCCCAACACCTTCCCCTCTCCCTCCTCGCACTCCCCGTAACAGACAGAACAAACGTTCCACCCCCTCTTCCCCTACCACACAATCACCCCCACCATCCTTTGCCCGTACTCTTGAGACACCAGTCCTCTCTTCCCCCCCTCACAAGAAATCCTTTATCCCCCAAAACTCCCCAACCAACTCCACAGAAGAAACTATTGAAAATATTCAAGATTACTTAATGAAAACCGACACTCAACCTACAACTCCTGCTCCTTCCACACTCCAAGTAATTGCTGATATCCATCCTCCTCCTAACGATATCCCCCCTACACCCTACCCTCCTACCCCCTCCCAACACAGCCCATCCCCCCTGACCCTGCCCACATTAACTCTCCCACCATCCCCTCTATCCCTTCCACTCCCTCCTGGATACACACGTGAATCCCTTATGTCACAAGTATCCCCTTCCTCAGACCCTCCATCTCCTACTACCCCTCCTGATAGAACACCAACTCCCACACCTCTCCCATCTCAAACCTCTCAGTCCTTATCCCACCCTCTAGCTGCTTCCCCTTCAAATTCTCCAACACGTACTACAATCTATATCACTAAATCAACGAAAGTATAACTATCCTTCATTGGAATATTCGCGGTTTCCGCTCCCACAGACCTGACCATCATATCCTTTCCTCTTATAACCCATCTATTGTATGCCTTCAAGAAACCTTTCTTATGCATACCCTTTATCTAATATAACACCTGACCTTAACCCTTTCACTCACTAATTCCTTTGCCCAGCTTAGACAACTAATCACTAACTCAACCACCCTTCACTAACATTAACTATAGTGCTACATGACCTTAGATGTCTAGCACATTTATCTTGCTTTTAACCATTAACCATTGAGTCATTTTGCAATGCCATCATGAGTTTGGTTGTGTGCTGCTTGGAGCCTATGTTGACCTCAAGAAGGTATTTGACTTATTGCATTGCTAGCTGCTATGGGAGATTCTGAGACTTGGGGAATATTGAAAAGGATTGTTAAATTAATAGTGGCTTAGGCAGATTGACCAGATCTATCATAAGGAGTTAGAGATGGGCCAAGGCCTTGCCTGGCAGCTTGTCATGAGGCTGGAATTGAAGGGTGGCTATGTGCCCATATCAGAATTAACCCCAGTGATTGATTTATATTGAGATTAGAATTATGAAAAATGGTATCTGAAAAATAAACTATCTGGAACAGAGCATTGACAAGGATAAGGATAAGTCCGATATGTGAAGCTGAGCCTCGCCCGGGCTATGGGGGGAGCCCGGCCTGTGCCGACTAATGTCGACTCGCTAACAGTGTTTCAGCTGGTGCTGACTCGGATGAGCTTAGTCCTTACCCACCGTGGTGCCCAGCCACAGAAGTAACCTCCAGGCGACAATTGCAACTTCTCGCTCCTGGGCGGGGCGCGAATCGCTGACCCCTCGGATGAGAGGCTGACACGTTACCACTGTACTAGCCCGGAGGCGCATTGACAAGAGGAATAACTGATATTTAGGATGTAGATAACAGCTGTAAAGATAGTAACTTATAGCAGCAAATATACCTCCATATGAGACTGGAAAGTCATATTAATTCTATTATAAACAGATGAGAAAATATATCATTATATCTAATAAACACAGACACACAAAAAATATGTTTAAAATGATAATAAAAATACAGAGCCCGAAGGTTTAATTTATTTTTATGAGATTCAAACTGCCAGCCAATAATTCAGTGAAAAACTTGGAGCTGGCTTTTGTGAACATCTTAATTTTTAAAGTAATAAGAAGGTAATAAGAAACAACCTAACCACACATAAATTATACATCATTCATGGAATTCTCATTTATGCAAAGGATAACATGAAATCCATCAATAATCAAAAATTAAATATCTATCTATCAGAAGATATGGTCTTATTTTCTAATACATATACACGTACGTGTGTGTGTGTGTGTGTGTGTGTGTGTGTGTGTGTGTGTGTGTGTGTGTGTGTGTGTGTGTGTGTGTGTGTGTGTGTGTGTGTGTGTGTGTGTGTGTGTGTGTGTGTGTGTGTGTGTGTGTGTGTGTGTGTAGATTATATATATATATAATGTATACATATAATGTATACATATATATGTATATATATGTATATGTATTTAGTTATATATATATATATATATATATATATATATATATATATATATAGATAGATAGATAGATAGATAGATAGATAGATAGATAGATAGATAGATAGACAGATAGATATAATAAAAAAAATAATAATAATAACAATAATGATAATACAGAGTTAGGGAAGTTCCAATATATCCAAATACTGGATTGCATGCAGAGGATTCACAGAGGTAATGTACAGGAATAACATTTTCATTAATTGCTGAGCTTTGTTTACGCAGGTATATAGTCTAAATCATTACCACTTGCTTATGTAAGTTGATTCATTATACATTATATCTGGCAGACAACCATCTGATGTCTTGATTATATGGGTTCAAAGTGATAATCTATTCCAATGCCAGGATTAAAAGCAGATACTGCCTGTACAAGAAATTATTTATAAGGTTCAATTTCACTAATAACTTCTATGTCTCTCTAAAAGCATTCATGTAATATATTAACCATATATGTATGTATGTATGTATGTATATATATGTATATATATGTATATATATGTATATATATGTATATATATATATATATATATGTATATATATATGTACATATATATATATATATGTATATATATATGTACATATATATATATATATATGTATATATATATGTATATATATATGTATATATATATATGTATATATATATGTACATATATGTACATATATGTACATATATGTACATATACATATATACATATACACATGTATATATGTATATGTATATGTATGTGTGTGTGTGTGTGTGTGTGTGTGTGTGTGTGTGTGTGTGTGTGTGTGTGTGTGTGTGTGTGTGTGTGTGTGTGTGTGTGTGTGTGTGTGTGTGTGTGTGTGTGTGTGTGTATCAATCTATCTATCTATATTTATGTACATGTATATTATATATATTCACACACACACACACACACACACACACACACACACACACACACACACACACACACACACACACACACACACACACACACACACACACACACGTAGATATAGATAGATTGATAGATAAATAGATAGATACGTAAATCTTAAAGGCAAAATGAAACATACCATGCTAAGCCAACCAAAAAGAAAGAAAGAAAGAAAGAAAAAAAAAAAAAAAAAAAAAGGCTTATTTTCCAGCTAAATGTCCCTTTGACTTTAAGGCTAACAATAATAAAAACCAAGAACAGGACGAGAAACATTATACTTGATTAATATGTTAAAATATGTTAAAATATGAGATTTACAGCATAGTTTTCATTCTAGAAACAGATATTTGTTGACTACAGCATAGAGCAGATTCCTGAAAGCTAAATGTCCATTAAACATTCTGAGAATGTGACTTATAAATGGAATGTGTAGGATTTCTTTTTTATATATTTATATCTTATATTCAATATAAGGGTCTATCCTACTAAAGAATTAACACTGGCAAAGTGTGCAGTTCACAAACTATTTATAGTGACCAAAGAATTTTTTTTCCTGATTCTAATTCTATCATTTACCCTGATTTCTTCTCAAAATTGTTTCCTCAGCCAATAACAAAATAAAAGAAAATCTGATTTTCAAAATTTCGATCAAATTTACCACGACATTTATTCTGAAAGCTGTTTGGATATGTTAAATTTGTAATCAATAAAGCTTTTCATATTGTGCCTTGGAAAAAAGTAAAAATGAGAATAACTATCTTCACAGTGCAAGAAATATATGTTGCATTTCACCTAGATCTTCATTAAAAATACTTCATGTCTTTTAATGAAGTTGTTGAGATGTATCAAATATATCTTTTGTGCTATAAATGTATTCATTCACATTCAACCCTTTCTCTACATCTGTCAAACAACCTTTGTTCATCGTTCCATGGAGTTGAATATTTCCCTTTCAAGAGATACAACACTATTCAAATTCACATTGAGACAGTCAAAAGAAAATATAATATAATATAATCATAACAAAGAATCCAAACATATCCATGTAAAGAGTACATCAGAACACACACAAACATCCCTCTTCTTTACATAGCTACCATCTTTCCATTTGTAGATTCCACAGTTTTGTTAATCTTACAATATCATTAAAATATCACAAGGAGATTCACTTGGAAGTCACACATAGTCAGTCTGTGAACCAAAAACAACCTATTATTCAACCCTTGGGTTGTTATTTTTCTCCACAAACAAATTCATTTCTAACTCTAATTAATATTTTTTAAAACAGGAAAAAATTCCCCCTCTGCTGACTACGACTCCCAGTAAAAAGCGGTCATCAAGATTCACACTAATGAACTTTTATATTCAATTCATGTTTAAATTTGTGACTAGACCAGAGTATCACTGTACTGAAAGTCAACATGCAACCTTGAAATCTGGAACAGATTCTCATGATTGTGACACCATGAAGTACATCCCACTGACTGATTTTGCAAACAATAAAAATGAAGGAAAAGGTGTATATATAGCCACAAATCACTTAAGAGATTACGACTGGTCATAGTTTTCATTCTAATACATGTGAACTTTATTCATCACAATCTAAGCCTTATCAACTTGAGATCCATGTTCTAAACTTAATTACCATATCTTTGTCAATATCTATTCACACCATTATTATTGCTGTACAAAAGGAGCATCTTTGTTATTGTACTATAATCTTCACTGGTAGTATCAATAATACCATTCATAATTAACTTTATATATATGATCTAAATGATGCAAATTCTTATATTGTCTCCTCATGCGTACAAACTAGAAAATTTTATGGCCATGTCTGTTAATAGCACCACTAATTTGAGTTGGATCGCACAAATTCAAAATAAAACTAATCAATACTGTATTAAATTGAACTTGTTTTTAAACAAATATACTCCTCAATAAAAATAAATAAGTAAATAAAATAAGTAAAAATATACAATGCAATATCAATGATAACCTTATTAAGAATAAATAATTTACCACACTATAACAATAAACATCTTTAGCCACTTAGTCTGTTTTTTACATCAAGTAGCAATGTAATATCTTAAAATTTCCTCTTAGAAGAGCAAAATTAATACCATTTCTTTTACAACCTGAACATCAAAAAAGAAAAGAAAAATCAACCAATAATTGCCTTTTCTTAGATTTTCTGATCAGCAACCTTTAACTAACTTACAGGAGAATATGGTATACAACCATTTGTAACAATGAACAAACTTTTAAATTTCAGATTCAAATCATGCATCAACTATGTGTTATTTGACTCTGAGATCTTAATTTAAAACTATGTATTCTTTCCATACATGATTTTAATCAAACTGCATTGAACAGTGACAGCACCCTACTGTCTTCAACCTTCATTAACCACAATAACCTCTGACCACATGGATTCGGGCCACATCCCGTTTTCTCTGACATTGGGCGGACTGCTCTTCCAGTCCCAATGCTTGATGGGAGTAAACCAAGATGGCCCATAATTTGCTCGTATGTATTCTTCCGTCTGGCATGGAATGCGCACTTTTAGATCTAAGAATTCTGTCCAGCATAAAGTAAAAGCTGGGAAGACATATCTGGAAAGGAGACATTTTTGTTGTTATTTTGGTCATAATCATTGAGACAATCTATTATATAAATCTAAAAAAAGAGAGAAATGATAATTTATGACATTTATGTCAATGCCATGATTTATCTTATTATCTATAAATGTTAAAAACATCGGCAGAGTATATATCACACTACACAAAGCAGAAGAAAAGAAAAAAAGACCTTCCATAAATAGCCAAACATCTTTTCCTTCCTCATATACAAACATTATCATTCTTCTATTTGATGAATTGACCAACTATATGCATAAATCTAACATACAATATGCCCTTCATATTATATAAACATTTATATGATTAAATAAATATAGCTTACTTGAATTTCTTCCCTGTTTTGGCCTGTGTTCCTCCATTCCACATAGTGGCTCCTTCAGTATAGAAGAAAAATATGTCCAACTTAATGTCTTCCTCTTTGAAAGAGAGTTCAAAGCTGTCAGACACTTTGCCAAACTTGTGTGTTAATCTCAATCCTCTCTTCTGAAATTCTTCAATGAGTCTTGGGTTATAGTCCTCGATGAACACACCAATGTCAACATCCATCGCCCAAGGTATGATGTCACACTGCCGATAAAATCCTGTTCAGGTACGAAGAGGTTTTAAAATGGTGCTAGAAAATGCTTGGCAATAACTTCTTAAAAGTACAAAAAGTACAAAAGCAGCAAACCTTACTTATTATGTACTTTCTGTCCAAAACAAAGAAAACAATATTATTATTTTTATTTTATTTTCTCTACAATTGTTAATTAGTGAAGTTAATGATAACTACTACAATGTCTATAATAAGAACTACAGCATTAATATTATCATTAATAATAAAAAATATTTTCCAAAAACCTTGTGGAAAGGTCACATGAAGTCACAAGGTTTAATAATTAATTCCTTGGCAGATGAGCACTTTTAGAGCCATCTGCGTGTAGAGACAAATCGCAAAAGAAAACTAAAGTGAACATTACATTTTTCCAGGACTGGGTTAATTTCCACATAAGCAAAATGTGATCTTGCTAACTTACCAAGGCAAGTGCCACTGCTGAGCCAAAAAGGAATTTTCAAGTGATCCATCAGTGTCTTAGCTTTGGCCAGCAATTTCCAAGCTTTATGCTTAAATCTGCAAAAAATTCTATTCTGAGACTTTTTAAAGTAATACCATATCTTACTGGTAAATATTTAACATTAACTATTGCACTGTTATGTGTGAATATAAATAAAGCTAAGCTATAAGTTTGCTGCAAAAGAATGACATGAAAGACTAATATCTTTTAGTAAAACCTTGTTTTGTAAAGAGAATAATGTCAAAATATGTAAAAAAAAAAAAAAAAACTGCGCATCATAACATTACCTAACTTCAGTAGGTGTTTCTTCCTTCATATGCTTTAAGTTGTAGAATGTTGCTCTCGATTCATTACATGGGATGAAATGTGAGGCTTTGTGGCCGCTGACAAATGCTTCAATATCACTTGGAACTGTTAAGTCAACTTCATCAATCTTTGCATCCTTTGTACTGAAGCTGTTGAGAGAAATAGCTATCATAGTGCAATCTCAAAGTTTCCCTACAGAAGGTTTATAGAATAATTTTCAGTTGTTATAAGCATGTGTGAGAGCAGACCAATGCCAAAATATCTCACCGTTCATAAGCCCGATCAACCTTCATATTTTCCCAAGTGTCTTTGGTTATGTACTGCTTTACTTGGGCCATGTTGTGAGGAGGTCCATTCAGGGCATACTGTCGCAGGTAACCTTCAGAGGTTGTTCACAGTTAGATCAGGAAGCAGTGATGTGAATTTAAAATGATCAAGAGTAAACAAAATCTATATAGTACAAGGTTTATTGAAGAAAGAAAATAACTATTTTAAATTTAATTTTGAATTCACCTTTGGATCTTAAAGTGAAACCGGAGTTGACTTTCAAGCCATAAAGTCATCTTTATAATACTGTATTTTCATAATTTACTGCATAAACTTAGAATTGTATTTTTCCCATTCCAATATACAAGAAAGAATCGCATCTCAATTAATATGAAATAAACTTCAACTTGCCCTCTCTTATATATATCTTACCAGCTGACTTAGTGTGCAGGACGACAAGGTGTAGAGGCGATCCCTTGCGCACCAAAAACACGTGCGAGTGCTCTCCTTCAGGGTTTTCGAAGAGAGTGACTGTAAACCCCAGCTGGGCCAACCTTGTAAGAAAGGCTGGCTGGAATATATCATAAGATACAAAGATAAATGTTTGCAACATCCTAAAAATGTAAACATTACTGTTATAACAATTAGTTTTTTTGTTGTTTTTTCATCTGATACATATAAACCAGAGAGAGAGAGAGAGAGAGAGAGAGAGAGAGAGAGAGAGAGAGAGAGAGAGAGAGAGAGAGAGAGAGAGAGAGAGAGAGAGAGAGAGAGAGAGAGAGAAGAGAGAGAGAAGAGAGAGAGAGAGAGAGAGAAGAGAAAGAGAGAGAGAGAGAGAGAGAGAGAGAGAGAGAGAGAGAGAGAGAGAGAGAGAGAGAGAGAGAGAGAGAGAGAGAGAGAGAGAGAGAGAGAAAGAGAGAAGAGAGAAAGAGAGAAAGAGAAGAGAAAGAGAAAGAGAGAGAGAGAGAGAGAGAGAGAGAGAGAGAAAGAGAGAGAGAGAGAAAGAGAGAGAGAGAGGGAAGAGAGATAGATGTAAAGAGAGAGGTAGATGGAAAGAGAGAGGTAGATGGAAAGAGAGAGAGAGATGGAAAGAGAGAGAGAGATGGAAAGAGAGAGAGAGAGATGGAAAGAGAGAGAGAGATGGAAAGAGAGAGAGAGATGGAAAGAGAGAGAGAGATGGAAAGAGAGAGGTAGATGGAAAGAGAGAGGTAGATGGAAAGAGAGAGAGAGATGGAAAGAGAGAGAGAGATGGAAAGAGAGAGAGAGATGGAAAGAGAGAGAGAGATGGAAAGAGAGAGAGAGATGGAAAGAGAGAGAGAGATGGAAAGAGAGAGAGAGATGGAAAGAGAGAGAGAGATGGAAAGAGAGAGAGAGATGGAAAGAGAGAGAGAGATGGAAAGAGAGAGAGAGATGGAAAGAGAGAGAGAGATGGAAAGAGAGAGAGAGATGGAAAGAGAGAGAGAGATGGAAAGAGAGAGAGAGATGGAAAGAGAGAGAGAGAGGGAAAGAGAGAGACTGACAACCAAACAGATTCACAGAAAGATAAAAGAAAAAAAAACAGACAGAGAAAGACTGAGACAAGAGAGACAGAAAGATTCAGTCAAATAAAAATTCCCTCACCTTGTCCCTAAGCTGCCCATGTGTGACGGCAAAAGTCAAGGGCCCAATGACATGGCACAGGAAAATGCACACTCCTGTCGCAGAAACATGCTGGTTAGAGTTCCAAGCATGCAGAATGAACGGGTCAAACAAAATAGTCGTCAGTGAGGCGTCCTCGCCCGCGCGCAACAGCTGCCGCACATCATCCACGTGGAGAGACCTCTGGAATTCAGTGTGGGGGGTTGACAGCCAGACGTGAAGGTAGAGCTGGTCGAGGAGAACCAACACGACCAGGATTCCCACGACCAAGAAGATGTTTTTCCTTATGGTGCCCATGCCATACATGCTCAGGGACCTGCGAGGGGAGGACGGTCAGTGGCGGCGTTGAGAGTAAAAGGAGTAACGGCGAATTAAAAGCAAAAATATAAGTTTTTTGTTAAGTTTAAAAAATACTGATATTGATGAATTACTTGAATTGGATATAAGATAACTGTAAAATATCTGCACTTTATTACTTGTATAAAATAACAAAAAACAAAGTTTCTGAGATTATCACATAATGTATAAATTTCAAATACATGCATTTCCATAGAAAATGTTGTTTTTACCTTAATGTAAATATAATTCCCTTGAAACTGACTCACAACTCAAGCTTTTTGCAGAATTAAATAAAGATTACCTCCAATAAATCACTAAAATGTATTAAAAGACACATTACCATAGAAACCCTGAGTTCCTCTTTTGAAAAATAATAACCACATATATTTACGTATACTTAACAAGTCAAATATACGTAAAATAAGTTACAAATAAACAAAATCAAGGCAAAGGCATCATTTTTCTCTATGGAAAGCCAAGCAACTTTACATGAATACTTAAAATCAACAATATAGTCACAAGATTATTCAGGTACTGTGAGAATGGAAGACTCTTTATCCCTAATCATCTTTTTTTAAATAATTAAGTAATGACATATAATTCTGTGATTTCATCCTTATTTTTTTTATTTTTATTTTTTTTTGTAAATTACTTTCCACTGTTAAAACCCCAAGACTTTTCACATAAGCCTCCTTTCTAACTCTTATCGCATTATGGCTATCACATCATTTCATCCCGAATAAGTTCCATGTGATGAATGTGAATAATTAAGATTAATTAAGATGCTCATTTCATCCCGAATAAGGTCCATGTGATTAATGTGATTAATTAAGATTAATTAAGATGCATTAGATGGATGACTAAATAACCTTCGGCGAGCAGGCTTCGGGGCATCGTCTGCAGAGGCCGCATGTTTGGGTCGCTAGCTTCGTCAAAACAGGTCTTGGCGGTACATTTTGGGAATTCAATTGTTTCTCTAATTTTACCGATGACATTATATATATATGTATGATCCAAAGTTATATATATTTTTTTTATCATAATATTTTAGTGAATTTGCATTTGTTTCCGAACGCTTAATAGGGCAGTCAAATTCGAAGCTTCCCATTGGTCGAGAAATTAAGGCTTCTCATTGGTCGAAAATTCTCGCACTTCTAATTGGCTGAGAGGTTTGAGGGTTTTGATTGGCTGACGAACCCGATCATTATGATTGGCTTACACTGCACCCATCGTCTGCACATGTAAACAAATCCGACCCGGGTTCACATAATCAAAAACCTAAGATATCTCTGTAAAAAAGAAGTAATCTTCACAAAATGTGGTACTTACAAGTAAATAGATTTTTAAGCTATGAAAATCGTCTACAAACAGTTATAATAGTTTACATTATTTTCATACCTAAATACTTGATGTGGATCTGTTTTGCTCCCATACACTTAAAATATTTCACTCGTGACGAGTTAAAGCCAATAAAAAGCAATTTCAAAATCTTATTCCACAAATAAACTCAAAATATAAGACATATTATCAATAAAAAATAATTGACTAACAACACAAAATAAAAAAATCTAATATTTTCACATAATATCTCCCCTCATAAATTTCTCCCGTGGATCCGCTTTGCTGCGAGACGCTTAAAATGGCCGCCAGCTCGGACGCTCCTCATTGGCTGAATTTTCCTCTCGATGGCCGAGCGGAGGACGGGCCGCGGCGACAACCCTCCCAATGCCTCCTCTTCACAAGCTGCCACTCTGAAACCTCAAACTCCGCCTTTTTGGGGCAACATTTCCTCATTGCTTTGAATCGGTGAGTATTTTAACTCGCGAAGAATAGGCTTTTGGGGTCTTAAAATTCATGCAATGTTGCCAAATGTGGAAACATTCGATTTGCAGGAGAATTTTTCTGGATTTCTTCACAAAATGTCCTCTTCTGAGAATGCGCGTATATTTAACGTTCTCCAGAATATAGAGGAAGTTATTGTAAATTAAAATTCCCTTCGAAAACAGCCTATTTGTGGGAGAAAAGAGTGAAAATAATGTTGCAATGTAGGCCTAACGATCGACAATAGACGACAAAGAAAACGTTTGCTAATGTCGGGGGGAACTATTGTATTATTGACAAATAATTAAAATGATTAGAAATGTCTTGTTTTTTATTCGTATGTTTCCAAGAAGTCGTTTCTGATTGTACTGAGGCACATGGATTTTTCCGTGTTTTATGACAGTTATTTCGGATTTGTGAAATAAGCCGAAATGGACATGAAAGTTATCAAAAAAAGACTCGGGATTTTTATCAATAACATCTGTTATGATTAAACTGAAAACATTCACAGACGCTTTATACACAGTATCCGGTGCCTTTGTTCATTTCATTCACAGAACATATTGTTTTCTCTTTTGTTGAATTGAATTCTGTTTGAGAGAAATTTTACTTGAATCATCTTCATAGCAATATTTTGTTTCCTTTGTTGTTTATAAGTTCTTCACTGTCTGTAAGAAATCAGCAGAATATGAGAACTTACGGATGCTATGACAGTCTAATTCACTTTTAATGGAGTGGAGATACTGTTCAGTAATTACTTTCAAGTGGTAAGTGGTATTTAGTGTTTTTTATGGTTATTAATCTTTTCCTTATTCTGTTTTTACATATTTATTTATGCTTACTAGTTCATAATTTCACCAATATAGTTGAGTAATTTCCAAATTATGATATTTTTTATGAAGATGAAATTAAATTGATATGTTTTTAAATAATTTACAAATTCATGTTAAGGGAAATGTTTGTAAGACCTCTGTAGAGCCTTTCAAAACAATTTTTTCCTTTGTTATTATTTAACCTGTATTGCTCCCAAACCTACTTGAAACTTGTTGTGATTTGTGTTTGACAGCCAAAAGGTTTCTGATACACCTGCGTAGTGACACAAGTAAATACTGTGGCCTGCTTGCCTTTTGTGCTAAAGCAAAGACCAGAAAAGTTCCACAGCTTATTTTCTGGCGAGTTAGAGCCTGTGAACCTCCTTGGGGGGTTTTCATCAAATAAGAACTGTCCTGGCAAGCTCTGTCTTGTCAACATATATATCGTGTAGGTTTATTGGCCTTTGCCAAAGGACTGATCTCTTGACTATCACAGCCGTCAACTGGGTTATAGCAGATGTCTTAATGAATTTTAATCATATTATAATATTAGGTTAAATGATGCAGAAATGCACTCCTTCCATTGGTATAGTACCATATATCCTTTGATTTGGGATTGAACTTTTTTTTTTTTTTTTCAATTTGCAATTTGAGGTCATTAGGAGTTCCCTTCCTTTCTTAGTATTGCAAAAGTTATATAGCTGTATCTGTTTTGGTTATTTTTGGTACTCGTAGAAGATGTTAAGGATTTGATATTTATATATACGATTTCTAGAGATTATGTGTATATAATTCTACTTAGTTTATGAAAAAGAAAATTATTACAATTTTAGTTAGAGAAACCTATGTTTATTGAAAAAAATCTAACTTCTGTATAGTGTAATTGTCTTATTTCTGTGTTATTTCAGTATTTGTGTATTTGATTTTTTTAATAACAGTATACTGAATATTAAGAAAAAAAAAGATAATAACAACATAAGGAAATATATTCAGTGTAAAGTCACATTAATTGAAAGGCTCGTTAGTGTATAATTACGTAAATGTATAGACTTATAAGCTGGAAATTCTGCACAAACTAGATCTAGTATAGATAATAATTTATATATTCATTAATATGTATAATTATATTTCTTTTCCCTTTCCATTGGATATATACACATCTTGTTTATGTAATACAAATTGAACAGTGCAAAACTAGATTTATATAAATTATGAGTGTTTGATGTTCCTTTTCAGATGAAATTAGATCCTAGAGTTTTAGAGAATAGGGTAATCCTTTGCAGGTTTTTGAGTGGTAATCAATGAGCTGAATTGTTTTTGATTGTTTTGATGGCTGTAAATTTTCTCAGCTTTGGAGAGAATCAAATTGTGAATTTTTGGTTTTATGTTTTTTTTGTTTTTCCTTTTATTTGTTATTATTCCAGTTGAGATTTCAAAAAGTGAAGTGTTAGTGTTATTATTTTTTTTATCTGTAGATTTTTTTTGCTACCTTTTTTGTGCTGTTCTTTTTCCTATTCGTGTTGTTGTTACTAATCACACTGTTCTTGGGATATTTAGTTTTGGATGTATCATTTTTATTCTTCTTCTTCTCATTATTGCTTATTGTATCTTTCATTTCTTCCTTTTTTTGTTTGTTCGTTTCCTTCCTTCTTTTATATGTACACTTCCAAAACTGTCAATTTTCCTTTTTTTTTTTTTTTTTTCTTTTTTTCTTTTTCTTTTTTTTCTTTTTCTTTTTTCTTTCTTTCATATATTCCTTTTTCTTTTTCTTTATCTTCTTTTCCTTTCTTCTTCTTCTTCTTCTTCTTCTTCTTCTTCTTCTTCTTCTTCTTCTTCTTCTTCTTCTTCTTCTTCTTCTTCTTCTTCTTCTTCTTCTTCCTCTTCATCTTCTTCTCCTCCTCCTTCCTTCCTTCCTTCCTTCCTTCCCTTACTTTTTCTTCTTCTTCATATTATTATTATTATTATTATTATTATTATTATGATTATTATTATGATTATTATTATTATGATTATTATTCATCTTCTTCTGCTTGTTCTTCATCTGCTGCTTCTTCATCATTATTTACCATGATGAATTCAAGATAAAGCAAGATAAATCTTAGTCTAGAGTAGGAATTTATTTTTTTATTGTTATTTTTAGATTTATTTGTTTATTTTATTTCATTTTATTTTATTTTTTTCCCAACAGTATGGTTTAGGATGATGGAGACAATTACTTGTGCGGGGGTGACATTGGACCTCCCCTCCGAGATGTGTCAAGACATTTCGCTGCTCTTTGAGGTGATCTCTCCTGATACATGGAACAACCACCTCACAGATGAGCACCGGGAAATGCTCATGGTAAGGAAATCACTGCCAGTCAGATGGCAAGAGGATGCATTGGTTGTGTGTGATTAATGTATAGCTTTTTTGGGGTGTATGTATGTCTATAAAAGGTTGATTTCCTGATCTTTTGTGTGTGTTGTGTACTGCTGTTAAGCTCTTTATCCCTTTATTTCACTTTACTTCAGGGCTTCTTACCTGATTTCCCCGAAAATGACCTGGAGGAAAAGACACGTACCTTGGAAATGTTCTTCATGGATCAGAACTTTAGGCATGGCACACCGCTACGATTATTCCATGAACAACTGTCAAAGGGCTTCTTCAATCCAGAAATCTCAAAGATGAGAGCTCTGCATAAGAAGATTCTTTACAGGGAATACAGGTATGTTTATCAGTCTCTCTGTTATGGATCTTGCATTTTATGGAAATTCAGTACTGTTTATTTATTTATTATTATGATTTTTATTTATTTATTTATTTTTTTTTTTTTTCATTAAGTAACTAACTATAATAGTTTTGCTGTATATGAAACAGGTACCGCCAGAAGCAGTATGTCCACCACACCTTGGAGGAAATCTTAGTGCGCAGGAAAAGAGTGCTGGACATCGTGAGCAACATGCCTCCAGACGACGTGCCAAAGATCCCTCGCCTGCCTCCTTTGGTAATTCATCCTGTTGGTTATTCCTTGCTTGTACACCTACTTTAGCAGCTAAGGAGAAGAGAAGAAAAGAAATTAAAGCATTCTTTGTATAAGTTATGGATTATTAATAGATAGGGTTTGATGGTGGATTGTGCATATGACTCTAAGTATTCTGAGGTGCTACCAGAGAAAGACTTTAAAATATAGATTTCTTTACAGCACAACAAGAGAAAAAGCTCCCGAACGTCAATAGAATACAGGACAAAAAAGCGCTACTTTCGTGAGTTAGCAGCCATCAAATCAGAACTTGGTGATGCAAGTGACTTTTCTGAAGATGAAATTTATCCAGGTAGGGATTTCTATTTGTACAATAATCATTTGTTAAAGTTTTTGGTTAATCTTTAGAGTATGGATGCACTAAGCTACGATAAATTGAAGATGCCATTCTTGTAGAGGACAAAAAGTTGTAGTCACTGGTAAAAGAAATAGTAAGCAAACATGAACAGAAACACCACTAATAAAGAAAAAAGATTGCAGAAAATGTGCCTCTCACAGTCAAAGTCCATCAGGTCCTCCCAAATTTCACCTCTATCTTGCCATGCATACCAAGGTGAAGACAGTGTTTTGCTGGGAGATGTTGGTACCATCAACCCTCCCCTTGGGGAGTTGCTCAGTCACAATAATTTAGATTGTTGGCTAAATTTTTTGGTGTGGAGTTGGGGACTTAGTCTCTGGCGAGTGCATACATACTGTAAAGAATTACCAAGTTTTGTGTTAGATGTAATTTTCTGTCTTAGAATAACACATATATTTCTTTAAATTTTGAACTTTCCAGAAGGACCAGGAGCTTCCTTGAATAAAAAGCAGCGTCGTCAACTAGGAGGACTGGAAGGTTCACTTCCTACAGATCTTTTGCCTGTCCGGGCCACACATAGTAGTGGCTCCCTGGCACTGGATTTAGAGCTAAAGATTACTCCAACTAGTAATCCATTGGACCTAACAGATGACCATTTTAGGGCAATGCTGACTGCCCACAGACTGCGTCGGAATAAGAGAGAGGTGAGAATTTTCTTGTGTGCTTGTTTTATTTACTGAATATTTTCAAACCAAAAAGTATTTGTCTTCATATGCCAGGATGTTTAACTATCACATATTTAATCGTTTCAGTCATCTGTTGATTTAGACACAAGGGGCATAACACTCCAGGATGTCATTACAAGAGCTCAGGTGCAGAGCAAGAGACCCCCACAGAGAAATGTAATTTCACCTCTGTTGCTTGAGAAACCAAAGAAAAAGATTAAGGTAAAGAAGGAAGTCTCCTCCCCACAAGTTCCCTCCACTATCCTGGCTGACCTCCCTGTCATCCCGAAGACAGAGATTGCAAGTGACTCTGAGTCATCCTCCTCTTCCTCCTCATCCTCCTCTGAGAGCGACTCAGAGGAGACAGATATAAAGAAGGAGATCCCTGCAGTCCCTCAGGCTGTGAAGAAGGGGTAAGACCGTAATTGTTATGTTGCTTAGCTACTTTTAGGTATTATTTGTTTGGTGCTGACATTTGAAGTATCTCTATAACAAGTGTAATATCTGTTATTTAATTTTTTTTTTTTTATTTATGTTATTAACTTTTGAATATCACCTTTTCTTTAATCTATAGGATAACAGGAACAAAGAACATCAAAGTAAAGTTAGAACCTGCTGAGACTTCCACCCCCCCTGAAGACATAGACATTGGAGGGCTTAGTGTGGAGCCTCTGATCAAGGAAGAGCTGAAGGTCGAATTGAAGGAAGAACCAATGGAAGACCAAGTGACGGCTGCAATAGACTCTTCCTCGGAACTAACAGCTGCACTGGAAAGCATTGGGTAGGTCGTCCTTGTTTGGTTGCATTATCTTTTTACTGTTACATATACTGTCTATGAAATAAGTTTGTTAATTATGAAAGTACTGTTCAAATTATTTTTAGAATTGAACATTTTAAAAATATGAGTATATAAAAAATGATCATATATATACTTCTTAGAAAGAAACACTACTTTGAATGAAAAGACACTAAATTACCATTTTTTTTTTTTAAATGTCTTATGGCATTATTGTAAAGCTCTGTTGTTATTCATGGCTGTCATTATATAATTTATGATTGTATTTTTTTGGTTTTTCTTCTGTTTTTTCTAGGGGTTTGTCAATTGCAATCTCTTTTAGGACATGTATTGCTCTTGAGCTATCCCTCTAAATGAGACACCTGTGATGCGGCGGCAGTCTCATTAGGGAGATCAGTGGTTATATGGGGACTGCGTATGGACTGGGATCAGAGGAGTAACAGGCTTATGTGGATGCTGTGGCGGACCTGTCCTAAGCGGTTGTTTGGGTCGACTTGGGAAATGACGGGGGGCTTCTGACGCCTGCTGAGTGTTTTGGATGTGGGTCTGTTGGATGGTGCTGGGGTCGGGGGCGTGTTGGTTGGGGGTTGTAATAGTAGTGTTGTGGTGGGGAGGGACTGTCTCTGGGGAATTTGGGTTGGGGTAGAGTGTGGGGGGCTGTCTCTCTATAAATTTATATATATATATATCTAATAATCTATATATCTATCTATATATATATATATCTATATATATCTCTATATCTTATAATGTGTTTTTGTGAGTATGTGGTGTGTTGTGTGTGTGTGTGTGTGTGTGTGAGAGTGTTGTGTGTTGGTGTGTGTGTATATGTGTCATGAGTCTCTATGTATATGTTATGTGTCATATGGTGTATGTGTAACAGTGGATACTGTGGCTATTTGGATATGTGGCTCATTTTGACTCTGTTGATCTTGTGGAATTTATGTGGTATGTGTATCTTGTGTCTATGTTTTTATGTGTATATGTCTGTGTATTCTGTATGTGTCTATGTTTGTGGGTCTAATGTATGTGTATCTGTATGTGGTATTTATGGTATGTGTCTATGTATGTGTATATGAATGTGTATGGTATGTGTATATGTCTGTGTCCTATAGTATGTGTATATGTTGTGTATCTGTATGTCGCCTATTTCTGATTCTACAGTCTTTGTCTATTACTCACAAGTCGATGTACTAAGTATATGTATGTGTCTATATACATATACAAAGATAATATAACTCATACTTATTACACATACAATTAACAACTATTACACTAACATACACATACATATATACATATACATTCTCATATAATATACATACACATATCATACACATACTACATTCACTATATGTATCATATACATATATATATTATATATATATAACATATATATATATATATATATATATACATATTCATATACTTTTACTTATACATATTATATACTTAACATATACATTTTACATACATTATTTATATCATATAATAGACAATATATACATATATATACATTTATATATATATATTTTCATAATATACATACATATTATATGGATATTTCCATTATTTATAAATATTATATATTTATACAATAATATATATTATTACTATATATATAATATATTTATATATATATTTATATTTTTATTATGTATATGTATTTTTATATATTTTTTTATATATATATATTATGTATATGTGATTTATATGTATATTATTATTTATATATTTTTTATATATATTTATTTATATATAACATATAAATACTATTAATA